CTGCGTACCCCGTGTGTAGCCGAACGAACGCTGATAACAAGCATGGGAACAGTGCTCTTTCGAACTGCCCGAAAACACGTCTGAGTAGTCCCCCTTGCTTTAGAGCCATAGATGATTCTCTGGCACAGTGCGTGGAACATCCTACGTCCTCCTGTTCCATAACTCCCAAATCCCTTTCATCAGTGGCATGCGGTAGTATTTGGTTCCCCAGAACGTAGGAGAAACGAGTCTTATACCGCATGGAAATGACTCTGCATTTGGAAACGTTGAACTCGATGGCATTGGCGATTGACCATTGGTGGGCTGCGTTGATCGTTTGTTGGAGTACTATATGATCCTCAGGATGTGTTACAGTTCTCTTAGCGTCATCTGCAAATAGCAGTGTATTAGGCCTAAGGATATGTGGTAGGTCGTTTATAAATGAAAAAAGAGACGAGGCCCCAGGACGGATCTTTGAGGAACCCTCGGGTAGCGATGATGGGCTCTGATAATGCATCACCAACACGAACTGACATGGTTCTTTGTCGGAGAAACTCCTTGATCCAGTCCAGAAACAAATCACATACTCCGGAGTTGTAGAGTTTTTGCAGTAGAATTTGGTGGTTTACTCGATCAAATTGCCTTGGAGAAGTCCAAATAAACTATATTCAATGGCTGGCCTGCATTGACGGATTTTGTCCACTCATCCCGTGCAAGGAGTAGGTCTGTGGTGCACGAACTCTTGTGCCGAAATCCGTGCTGGGTTGGAGACGAAATGTCATGCTTTTCCAGATATTCCATCAACAGATCTGCCACAATAGCCTCGATGACTTTCGACAATATCGGAAGAAGTTAAACAGGGCGGTAGTTGGCTGGATCACTGCGAGATCCCCCTTTGTAAATGGGGGAAATCACCCGTTCCTTCCATGACTGCGGAATTACTGCCTCCTTGAACATTCTTTGGTGGATAACAGCCAGAGGTTTGGAAATATTATTGGCTAGCGACATCAGAGTCCGGGATGTATGTTGTCCGCGCCTGGGGATGAATTCTTACGCAAAGTTAATATTTTTGTTCTAACCTTCTCACTGTCAAAAGCCATGTTATCCAGTCACGGATACGGTATACAGAGTAGTTTGCTTGGAATCTGTAATGCTTCGTGTGTCGTTGCAGTAAATACCTGAGCACACTGTTTTTTGAGGAACTCTGCTGCTTCTAGTGTCGTGGTTGAAACATGTCCGCACGAGCTCAATGCTGGTATTCCGCATTTTACCTTCCTTGTAGAATTGATGTTTATAAAGCAATTTTGGATCAGAAATAAACTTTTGAGCCAGGGTTTCTTGGTACATCAATTTGTCCTCGAGTACCAACTTGGTACACTGATTTCGCAGTAAGGAATAATTATTCCAAATTTCGATAGCTGGACATTTTCTGTACTCCCGCCAGGAAAAGTTCCTTTGTTCTATCCATTTCTTTGTTCGGCTGTGAATGAATGAATGACGAGTTTTAGATTTCGCACAAGTTTTTATACTTGTTGCAGTCGTAACAATTTCGGTAAGATAATCAGTGAAGCTCTTCCATGCCACCAAAGGATCGTGATAATCTTCTGGGATGACCCATTGCTTAATTATTGCCAGGTTTCGCAGCTTTTTTTAGTCCATGATGGTACCAGTACCGGTTTTCTTGGGTAGATGCCTATATTATCAAACATCAATACGGCATAATCACTACATCGTAGTGGAGAGGTAACAGTGACAGATTCCCCCATCAGCTCCTCGTTGGTCAGCACTAAATCCAATGTTGATGGTTCGTGACCTACTCCAAATCAGGTGGGTTCTGTTACGTGGTTGAACAGTGGGTGCAATTCAATCAACTGAGATAATTGTTTCTCGAATGGCTGGCAGGAAGTCCTTGATCTTATGAGATTTAGGCAGCTAAAGTCACCCATTATGAGGGCATGGGTGATCTTTATTGCTAAAGCATTCCTCATTGTTTGCAACGAAATCTCGTTGGCTAAGTCTGAAGTTGCGGGAGGTCAGTACACAACACCGATTAGACATCTATCACTTTTGAAGAGTCGCACTGGACACCATAACGAATCGGGGGCTACGTCGGGAATATCAATCTGCTCTCACTGTAAATTGTTTCGATGATAAAGCAGCACTCCACCGCCTAGTGTAGTGCGATTGCATCTAAGCAGCGACATTCCAGATGGAAGCAATTCCGAGTCGAGAATGTCAGTGGTTAGCCAGCTTTCAGTAACGACAACAATGTCAAATCGATTAGTTTTCCAACGAAGTTCCATCGCGGAGAATTTGCTAAAGTAACATAGTGCATTGGTATAAAAACATGAAAGATATCTTCGGCAAAGAAATCTATTTGGGTATGCGGTGTTGTTTCTGCCGGCCAACTTGGGGTCGGCTAACAATGGTTTCTTGTAGAATTGGCTTCCTCGGTGCTTCTTGGTGAACGTGGATTGATAAAAACCGCTCTAGTGGAAGAAGGTGGCGTGTTAGTATCGCTTTCCGTTTTCGGACGTTGCCGGGATCCAGTATCATGTAATAGTCTTAGGCGTAATTCCGGCGGACCACATTTTCTATTATCCTTCCACGACTGCAATAGGAAGTTGGCCATTTCTGGCGTCCCGAGGGTCACTTTCATTAGGCTCGGGCCATTCCGGTGGTATTTCGGTGAGCTGGGTAGACGACTAATTGCCGTAGTAAGAACCTGGGTACAATTAAGTAGATCTCGAATGAAAATCCATTCTTTGCAGTCGCTTTGTGGCATAGGGATTCGTCTGGATCGTCCAGTTGAGGGACTCCATGAATTAGAACAACTCGTTTGTTCTCCGATTGCCGTGCGTTTGTTGGGTCTGTGCGGTATTATGTTTGCTCCGTCCAGTGCCTATCTAGAAGTATTCCACACGAATCTTCCTTTAGAAGGTAACTGGAGAGAAGAACTTTTTCCAGGTCCTTTTCGTTAGTAAATGTTACGCGAGTCAATCTTGGTTCCCCAGCATGCGGCGACGATGGATGGCGAAGTAGCCGCACGATTCCAACGGGTGAACGTCGACACCCAATTGGTTGCATAAATCAGCCCAGCGATCAAAATCCTCTGCCTGTTTCTCCCTCTGGGCTCTGGCACGTTGGCGAAAATAACTGTCATTTCGGGGTTGTAATTTGCCNTGGATAATCTGAGCTTTAGGCTCAATGATTTGTGCCGACTCTTGATCTCTGGCATCATCCTGTACTGACATTGCTTCGCCGTCGAGTTCGAGACTGGGTATTGACAACGCTGTAGTGGGACTCTTTAGAAAACAACGAGGTCTTTTTTTGGGTCTGCGAACTGGACTGGGAGGGTTGACCTGAAAGCTCAAAGCAGTTATCTTTTCTTCCAGTAAAGTGGTTTGTTCTTTTCTTTTTTGCTCTGCTACCGATAGTCGCTTTTCAAATTTTTTCTTTCGTACGTTTCATACACTTCAATATCGGGTTTTCCGAGCAATCGTTACAAAACCACAAACTGTATGGCTGAATCATGATCTGTTCTTCATGATGCTACAAAGATATTCGAACAACGAAGGGCACACGCTTTCCAATCATGCCAGGCACGACAAAAAACGCAAGTTTTCAAAAGTGCTCCACGTAACAACAACCGAAAGAAAACAAAAACACCGAACACTGGACAATCGCTTGTCATCACTCCGGAAAATCTCGTTGGAAACCTATCACCCAGAGTTTTGAAGCCGTTAGAATACCGACCACTCTAGAG